ATGCCAGATAGCAGTTCCCAGGTGGCTTATTTTACGTACGTAGGAAAACTAGATTTAGATCTTGTATTGCAAATTTATATGTTTATATGAAAATATACGTTATTATTATCTTTGAAAGGTCAGTGATCTTAACCTGTGATAAATCAACCAAAAGTATTGCTAATGTGCATCATAAGCTCTGCCCATTGTAAACCCAGTTGTGACTTGCTTTAGAACTGGAAAAAGCGTATTAGATCACCTAGAAGTAACTTCCGCTGACTAAGCATGTGATCTTGAACTCCCAAGAAGAAGACAGTGAGATTCTACAACAAACGGTATTGTTATACTAAGGCAGATAACAAAGACTAAGTTGAGTGGTTTGCAACTACTAGTGACGTCGTAAAACAAAAAGTAGCTAGTGATATAGGATGTATGCTTGAAAAAGCAACACCTCGCCATTCAACCACACTTTCAGTGGGTAACTCTTCAAACACTCACTCAGATGTGGCTGAGATTTTCCCAACAGGCTTGTGATTATGAGCATTCGCTCTATCACTGGCTTTATAGTTAGCGATGTTAAAGCCACCTCTCATTTATTAGAATACATACTAGAGCCCATTGATGGAAGGGAAAGTGGAAGGGTGAGGGTTAACACACCAACTCCACTGCTTTCCTATCACCACGTGGTCTAGAGCCACTTGTAATCCAACCTGTCGTAAGGAAATGCGACCCAAGCAAAGCAGGTGGTGAAAAGTGGTACGATCCTATCAGACAAGGTCGTTTCTAAACTCACGTTCCCACGCTGGTCATTAAATTATATGCGGGTCGTGGTTATTTCGCTTTAGATCACTCTGGCAAAAAGAAAGAATGGGATATACCTTGTATATTCATCTGAGAGAGATTGCCTAAGTGTAGTTCTCTGTTGCTTTTAACAAGTATATAAAGTGAAATATAAAGATTTCGCTGGTGAAGTGATGGTGTTTTAACAATTCCCCCCCCCAACTTTAGTGGCAATTTTTTACTGTTTAAAATAGAAAAATAGTTTTAAAGCATGTTAGATTTCAAAAATAGAAAGAGGGAGAAGATTTTTTGCGACTACCAGTTACTTAATTAATAATAATATATATTCTCATTTTTGTACATGAGGGACGCCAGTTTACGGGCATCATCAATTCGATAAATTACACATACGATTAGTTAGCATAGTCAGTAAAGATAATATACTAAGGTACATATTTTTCCTAGCTATGTAGGATACAGCAGTTGTGTAGGCATGCATAAGCATTGTTTACATTACATGCTTCACGGTTGCTGCCATTCCGTCTTTAGTTTGTGGGAAAAATCTGATAACTAGTGATTCAATGGACCCCATCAAGGGATAGAGAGATATTGACTTCTCATTAACAAAAAAACTCAAGTACTCGTTGAACGAATTACAGATACTTGAGAAAACAAATAAAACTTAAAGTCACTTCCCCAATATAACAGTGAAATGAATCTTATAATAATATACTGTCTTTTAATGCACATGAGGGACTCCAGCTGATACGCATCATCAATATGATAATAATGTATACACGGAGTAATTACCATTATTATATCCTTTAATTCCTTGGGGAACACAGGGCTTCAGCTGAGCGTCCCCATCGCCTTCTGTTTTCTGCCAACTTTTCCACCCCGCTCCAAGTCTGCCTACATGCCTTCATCACCTCTTCACATGACCTCCTTCAAGTCACGCTTGCACTAACAGCCAACTCGCCGCTTCCCTTTCGGGTTCCACTCTAGCGATGGCTTGTCTAGTGATGTCACTTGATGGTTTCCTCAGAGTATGGCCAGCTAATCCATCTCCATTTCTTCCTGCCTATTTGTTTCACAATCGGTTCCTGGTTAGTTCACTCATTGACAGAGATCCCTGTTGCTGATCTTTTCTGGCCGGCCATCTTACCTTGCGTATGGAGCGAAGACAATTGTTGATGAAGGTCTGAAGTTTGTTTGAGATGCTCTTCGTGACGCCCCAAGTCTCTGAGCCGTATAGTAGCGCTGACCGAAGACACATTGGAGTTGAAAATCTGGATCTTATTTTTGATGTTGAGTGCTGTTGACTTCCACACAGACTTCAGCTTGTCTTGCTTTCCCGATTCTGGCTTTGATATCCTCGTCAGTTCCGTCTGTAGTTAAAACGATGCTTCCCAGGTCGGTGGGTAGGTGAAGGAGGTTGTTTCTTTCAGGTTCCTCCCATTTATGTCGATTGTTGTCTGTTGTTGTTGCTGTTGGTGTTGGCCAGGAATCTTCATCACCTTTGTGAGCATGTTTACAATTTTTCACTGACAAAAGATATATATATGTATACAATGAAGGGCAGTGGAATAATGATAGTAAACATACTTTGCATAAGCTAAAACAATTTATATGATATAATCCTAGGCACCATTATTGTTTGAATTTGTCGAAAATGCGCGTAACAACTCAGTGTTACGTTACATTTGGTCGATATGGTGGGCGTAAAAATGGCTTATAAAACGATAGTTAGCTTACCGTAAACGATGTTTTAAGTAATATAATCTACAGAAGGCTCACCACATCAGTTAGAATACATTTAAACATGCAGAGAAGTACTATTGATTCAGCAACCAGTGAATTTTTTATTCTTTTAGATCTTGAACCAGAATGACCGCGAAAGGATCTATACAAGATGTCTGATAAAGCATGCAGGAGCATAATATTACCATCGAATGAATCAGTGTGATCTGAGATGCAGCTGTCGGCATATTTTATTTTTTTCATAGGTATCCAGGTTTATTGGCGCTGTATAGGTAGTGATTTTGATTTTGACATATTCCTCAGTGTCGCCGTGATCATCTCATTTGTTGCATCTTGAGTACTTCAGGGCTGCTTCCGCATTGTGCTATTATAACTGTACGTCAGTGGCACAGTGGTTAGAACTCTCGCCGATCATGCACACTGTCCGAGGTCCGTTCCCCTGCCGACGCACACCTGGTATCTATGGTAGGCCTGCAAAATTTGGGCTACCGATATCCATGATAAAAATTCTATACTTGTACCAAAAAACAGTGTGGAATCAAGCTGTAATCAAAAATTTTTAAAAAATATTCCTCGAATTCTGTCTAGCCACAATTTGCAGTGAAAAAACGGGGAGGCCATTGTCTGTTCGTTGATTTAATATCCGTTACTCTCCCAAGTGAAATAGGGATTACGTGGCGCAGCTTCTAGCCCAAAATTTCGTCATCGGGCTCTCATGAGCAGAGGTGAGGGAACAAACTTGTCAACGATGATTAAAAGATATCGTATCGAACTTTTCACCTCGATTAGCAACCAAGAATCTACCGAAAAGCCTCCAGGGCACTGTTGATATAGTGACCACAAGAGTGGCAACCGAGGACTCTTCACAGCACTTTTAATGTCTTCAGACAACTAAAAGCTCCACGACAGCATTTACTTTCATTATATTATACAGGATGATTTTTTCAGCACAGGAGACATCTGTGTTTATGTGGTTCGTTCAATTCACAGGTCACAAAATCTGATCAAAATTAAGAAACTAATAAGAGAGATCCCACGTCTTTAATCAATTTAATGCACCGTATCAAATAAATATAGTTCTCATCTCAGTGTAAGAGCAAATTAAAACAACCACTTCTCAACCAACAGAGATTGGAGTGGAAACACACAGGAAAAATTAGAGACCAGGTACTTACCCTCCTACAGGGATTTCGAGGTCATTATAGTGTAAACAAATTCTAATGCCGTAGACAGTAAGATCATTACAAGGGCGAAATGTTCCTTTTCCGATGAAACATGGATCATTAGCGAAGAATCATCATTTCTGTATTCGTTAGTGAAAAATTTCGATGTATAGGGGAAGAAAATTCGCACTAGGACCTTAGACCATACACAGCTCCGTTTTATGTCAGCCTCTTGTGCTACTTACACCGAAGGAAACAATATCGACCACTCTGCACTATTTTGGCGGTTATCTAAATGGTTCAAGGTAGAAATGCCAAAACCAGGGACTTATACATCCAACCCCTAGTTTTCGGTAAAGAGACCAGAAATGCACGGAAGTCAAGTCCACATCACTGGACGGGCAGAACTGGGCTAAAACGTAAGATAAAGTAGTAACTTGGGTCCAGGTAACAGCTCAGTAGGAGGAAACCCCAGTAGACAGCGAAAGTCATCTGGTCATAATGTTTGACATAGTAATTAGTGAGCGTCCAAAGAAAGTTTATTTTATAACACAGTGCGCTATCCAGATATCAGGAGATTTCACCTAATGTCATGTAGTCAGCAGACTTAAAACCACTGTCAATAGACGGCAGCTAAAGTGAAGAAAAGGGAGTCATCCAACTACATAATTCACAAACCATCCCTGTAATGACAGCTCAGCCAGAGAAACATTTCACCTGTTCAGTTCAATGCATCTAGCCAGTTCAGAAGCCCGGTAAAACGACGAATGTTAGGTCACAAACTGATCACAAAACGTATTTTGTGCTAAGGAAACCATTTCATACAAGATTCCGGAGAGGGGGATGGAAATCAGTTCAGTTGGCAAATTCATGGATATTATTGTTTTAACTCTGAAAAGATAACTTACAGGGAGATACGCCTACAAAAACGTATGAGAATGGGACTTCACTTATATAGAGATGTCTGAAAGATTCATCTTCACTCACGGAAAGTGTACTGTATGCTTGGCAATTAGCTAAAGTAGTTGAACAATGCCCTTTATTACCCTGGCTACAGTCTGATGCATAGCCCATTTAGGTTTAACACTCAAATGAAAAAGAAATATTTTAGGAGAAAATCTGCTAAACACTCATAATTACGTATCACATAGCTGTTTCTCGTAATTTGAAATACTTCTTTATGGTTGAAGTTTGTTTTATGGAGCTAAATTGACTTTTCATGAACCGATTAAGTTTCTATAGAAGCATTTTGAAAGTTGTCAAGGTTTCCGCGCACTTGCTAAGGCACTCCTACCTGCATTCAACACACTGTGAGATATGGAAGAAATATTCTACACTTTCTGTGATACAGTTAAAAAAGGATCAAGAACTGCAACAGATAAAACGATTAAAAAGATATGTACTGATTGTAATATCTATACGAAATCGTTTAACGCCAACATTGTGGATATTGCATTTAGAAAGCATATTGGAAATGCTAAGAAAGATGTCGATTTCGCTGACTTCATGAGATTTATACAGGGCACAATGGCCGAAGAGTATGCAAAATACGCGAATATGTCACAAGCTGATGCAGCAAAGGAAATAGAAAATAAAATATTGAGTACGAGCAAACCAAAGGCTCACGGTGCTACACAAGTTAGCAAAGACGCCGCAACAGCTCGCTTAACTGACGTTAAAGGATACACAGGAGCTCATAAAGAAAGATTTGATGCTGAAACTGGTAAAGGCAAGGGAATCGAAGGACGGGAATATGTTATGGATGAAAAGGCGGCTGCAGGATATGTGGGTGGGTACAAAGGAAAAGATACATATGACAAAACTCACTGATATTTTCTTTAAAGTGAACTGCTATTCATTTACTTTGAAAGACTTTCATTTTAAATCATCAATGTACTGTGTTAACAGCTGAATATTTAATCAGCGCTTTCATAAACTAGATTTTTTCAATGAGTTCAAACATTGATTTGACGCTTTAATTTAGAATAATGTGTTATTAAATATCTTTGAGTGAATGTCTAGCTTATGTAAGCCTGAACTTTCATCTATTTCTCACTATGGGTGTGCACGTAATATCAAATTTAGAGATTTTGAATAATACGTAGTGTGTACACTCGTCTTGACATCTCTGCAGATCAAGAGCTGAAATAAGAATTAATTAAGAGTTTCATAATTCGAAATAACTATTTAACTTTTCCAAGGTTGGGAGCATATAAAGTTATTGCACAAATATTGTCAACAGAGTGCTAGATTAAGTGATTTCTAGGTATTTGCTTAATTCTAATCATTTTAAAGACTGATAATTTATATCACTTGTAAACACCATGGTATTACAGCCGGGTGTCATAAAAATGTCGATTTCAGTTTTCTGTGCTATCTGCTCTAAATAAGTTACAGGAATGATAGACATTACTGAACAATAAATTACCTTCCACTGCGATTTTTTCGTGGTCAGCTTGATAAGGAGTGACTGGCTGAAATTTAAACGCGAATATCAGCTAATTATACTCTTTTGACAAGACCTTAAGTTTTGTTAAATATGCTCTGGCTATGGAAATATCTACCAACAAATGTCGTGTGACCACTTCAAACAATAATTTTTGTATATCGGCATTGCGTTAGCATCCTGACACCATATTATTCACTGGGTTTCCACAGAAATGTTATTTTGAAGGATAAATAGTCATTGCTGTATCTACCTTCTAATTGTTTGTTCAGTTTCAGAAAACGAAATTCCGCACGTTAGTGACTGAATCTTAAGTCATAGATCTAACTAACTTCTAAAGGGAGAAATAAATGGTTTGTTTTAACCTTAGTTACTCTTAGAACATAATGTCATTATTAATTGCAATTTCCGATTTCTGCAAGACGACTCAAAAATAATAGTCTCTTAGTGCCTCTTATGGAACCAAAAATGTTTTTTTTGTGGCTCGAATTATTTTGCGCATGATGTGTACTGGAAGTCTGTGAAAGTATTTGTTTAGGAAATTTGAAAGCGTTGAATGCTTAGAAACAAGAAACTGTTCCGATAGTTTCAGATGCGGTGTGATGCTAAATACGGTACGATACGTCTTTAGTTGTTTGTTTTGTTTTTGTCTCGGCAAGTTCAGATTTTATATTTTAATAAACTACTCAACAAGCCTGGAAGTCGACTAAGGTATGTATGCGGATGTCACTTTCGGTCTCCTTGCTATTAATCCCTGTTAATAAAGGTCGGTCAGTCAATGTATGCCTTTAAGGTGAAAAGAAAGTATGTATTGAACGGGCCATTCATACGTCAAAAGAATAGAACCATGCAAACTGATCATTGCGAAGGACGGTGGATGTTCTTCGCGTTTACTTTTCTGTGTCCAAGCCAAAAGAAGAATACCCCACATATTTAGGGGGAATATAAGACCATCAAAACGTTTTATTCACACCATTTTGCAAGTAACAGATAATAGTTCAAGTCACATTCAGGGTCAGTAATAATATAGGACTGGCGTATGTGGTGACTATAGTCACACCCATCAGAATTAAATTTTGCAGCTCCATAAGTTGCGTAACCCGTTAATTTCTGCTGTGAGTGAAATTACTGAGTAGCTGGTCTAAATTTTTTGTAATTTAAAGCCTAAACAATACAGGACGTTAAAGAACAGTATTTAACACTAAATAGTTTTTAGACATTCTTACTGTACCTCAAGTTCAACTAATGTTTGCTTTTATTGTTCTCCTTTTAGCATAATCAATCGACTAGGCATGACTTTCATATTTCTCTTAAAGAAAATGCTAAATGCATGAAATAATATATTTGTTGTGTTGGAAGTATCTTCTCAGCAATAACCGCTCCAAGCAAATATTTCACAAACATTCTAATCATAAACTTCGGTTCCCATTGGAATTTAGTGAGATCTTCAAAATCCTAATTCTGCGGAAACAGCCATCTATTTTGTAAATTGTAACCTTCACTTTTTGTCCAGTGAAACTGTGTGATTATGTATACAACGCAGGTATGACTAAATGAGTCAGAATGCCTCGTTTTCGTAGATAAGGTTATCTTCTAAACTCTTGAAGTGAAATATTCCTCTAACTTAAAACTGCTCAACATCTATTTATGCTATCATTAGAAAAAAGTCAAATTTTGCAACAGACGAATCGAAAACATCTGCTTTAATTTACCCATTTGATAATCAATTACTAAGTTACTTATTGACGTAGGGCTTCTCACAGAATCGCTGCATTTCAGGTCTCCATACTTCAGAAGTGCAAATGAAAGTAGAAGAAAAAGTAACGTAAAACTGCAAGGATTGGATGCATCTGCGCCACTGATAAGAGTTTTGAGACATACCACCAACAGCGCTTAACGACTGATCCAAAGCATCTCGACGACCATAACTGGGCAGCCTAACCTTCCTATGTGGTCTAAACGAACAATCAAAGCCATCTTTGGTTAGTTCTATGTTCCTATATGTTCACCCCCAAATATTTCTCAGCCTGGTCCAGCTGTGGCTGATACTACTCTTCGAGGAAGACGCCTCAGTATTCATAGAACATGTTCCGACTCGGCAGATGGGGTCTCACAACCTCAAAGATTGATTTTCGTTACTTAACTATCACTAAACACCTAACTGCATTATTAGTGAATGCACTGCTTCAACGATAACGTGAGGTTTAACATAGCTATCCAGGGTCATAAAAGTTGTGTCGAACTCACTCTTTTAGAGCATATGTTTTATATACCTGAATTTGAGCTACACGTATCACATGAGGGCTAGCGATACTAATTAGCTGCTCAGGTTGAAATAGACTGAGAATTAAAATGTATTCCATAAAAGTGAATTGCTTGCAAAAGTTAGAGTTTCGGGTTTTGCCCAAGGTGTCCAGAAGACTGTGTATTTTACCAGCATTTTCACATAAAATGACAATATCATCAATGGGCCTTTTCTCTGGTATTGTGTCAATCCTTGAAATATAGAGGTCTACCAAGGCTAAGCTCTTCAGTATATCTATAACAAAACTAAATAAAAATAGTGACGGCGAGCGTAGCTTATGGATGCTACTGGTTGTCGTCACTTAAGATGGCTACTCATCATAAGTTCTCATAAGTCTACATGAATTCGGCTTGAGTATCCTGGCTGGTACGATATATTTTCTCAGTCCTCTAACATCACCAGACCTAGCCACAGAACCTCTCTGTGGATGGATTTAATGCTTTCATCACAGTGAGAAATATGACATATGTCAGACACCATTAAGTGCATTTATGTTCCAGAACAGGTCAAAAAGTGAGGCTTTGATAAACAAACCTTCTTCTGGGTAAGAAGCCCTAATAGTTCTCTCGAGTTTTCTTTTCGCTAGCAGCACTTAGTCTTTGATCAACTATGGGGCCTAGGATCTTATATAGTTTGTTAGTGAAGCTGATTATTATGGTAAGATTTGTTTCCATTCTTATAAACTAGGGCGATTAATGATTTACACTGACCCAATGGAACCATCTGAGCTAGACGTACCGCTTAGTTGCTGACACTTATCACTGGAACAGCATGGGAAAAAAAAATAGCCGCCTAATTATATAGAACCATCACTTTAAAAATAACTGATTGCAAGCTCATACAGACCTACAAGTTTCACAATTTAGATTACTGAATTATTCTATTGGTATTCTTGTAGTCAAGCTGACATCTGACCAAAATCTATTTGGGTATGGTCTAATTGGGTAAAATACCTCTTCCATTTACAATAGAATTGGTTACGGGATTAGAAAATATGTATTTCATTTTCAATTTTACACAATTTTTCAAACCAAGAATTTGATCAACACCCCGCAATTAATTATTTGCTTGTAAGAAAATTATAACCGTGCTTTCAGTGGTTAAAAATATCAGAAATAATGAGACCATGTTAGTACCTAGTCTCACAATTTCTTTTGTTCTAACAACTCTTATTTTATTCAGAAGGACATTATTTATTTGCTCAGAATTCCTTTACACTGTTTATCCTGCAATGAACGTGATTCCTGGATTTCCCGGTGGTCTTCTCAGCCTGTTTTCCAACGTCCTTAACTTAATTCCTAAATGAAAGTATATTCATCGTTCCCAAACAAATAAAAACAGGCTGGTGTGCGGTAACTAAAAAAGATATTGAGTAGTCAGTGCAGTGACCAGAGACTCAGCACATTTATGTTCTTTTGCAAACGATACCACATAAGAATACCTTAAAACCCAAAAATTAAGTCACAAATACTTCTAATTATACTAAAAATAGCTAATCTACTCGATCTTAAAAATTAGGGATTTTGACATAAGCAATTTTCTGCACTACAAAACAGAAATAGATTTTTTTCAACTCAAGTTAAGGAAGTACATTACTCAAAAATCAGTAAACAAATCGTGTTCGGTTGACTGGACCAGAAATTAAAGCGTTTCTAATATACCTAACTTACTCCTAGATTTCTCAGAGCAGAATGTGAAGGCTGGAAACAGGTAATTAATATGGAGGCTGTCTTCAAGCTTATTTATCTCAAGAGAGTCTTATTAACTAGCTTAAACCACCTAAGAAACCATTATCGATAGAACATTAGTGTCGCCTCAATCTGACATCTTGTATCACCTAGGAGGTTAGATTGTTTTCATTTTTAGATAGTTAAGTGTAACACTTATCGTATTACTTTCAAGGCGATGAAGTTTGCTGACCAGACTCCTTCTTCTGATCCGATCAACTGGCAAGTCGTAATTTATTTTGTCTTACAGACGACAACTTTCTATAAAACATTTGATGATGCGCTACTATTAGGTTTGATCACAGTGCTGATATGTTTCAGTGAAGGATACTTTCTATTTACATTCCTTTATGTATTCCTCGGAACCACCGTACTCGCTTGGTTTTGTGCTATCATTTTCGGCAGACCCCAAGACTTCTCACGATTCCCATATTTTAAGATAACTGACCATTAATTTGGACATGAAAAACTTAAAAATAAGTGGAGATATAAATTCTGTTTAGGAATTTAAATATATTAGACGAAAATTACCACAAACATAAAAAATATATGTATATGTTACACAACAACTTCGACGTAGTGGAGCATAAAACAAGGATATACTTCTCTGGATAAAAGGAGTACAAATTGCAGACAGATTTATTCACTATACATTGCTTTTTAATGCTGACTCAGAAATACTTCATAAACACAATGAATTCAGACTTATTTACTTGCCTAGTTTGTATTCAACTATTTTACACCTAGATTTTGTTAAAAAAAAGATTACAAAATGTTATATATTTTAATCATATAATCTAATAGTGTTCATTTAGAATGCATGGTTAATGTATGCACGAACTTAGGTATATATAATCATTGAAATATTTCACTTTGTCATGTGATTATAGTCTGACATATATTTCATCATTTACATAACCTTATAATTTATCAACGTTACATTTTCAAGAGTTACTCTGTAGGGATTTGATTGGTTTCACGTATGACGACGGAATGATATCAGTTAGAAAACCATTGAAAACTAGCAGGGAGTACTGGACAGCTATTTCGTCCTAGTTTGGGAATCGTTGGCAGTACTCACCCACTGGAGTTTGAACCTAGGACCTTTCGGTTACAAACCAAACTAACCTTACAAAAATTAATATGATACTCGTTAGTGGCTAGCTACAGGATGAAGTTGTCTGAAGTTCGAGTGAAAAGCCGTGACCAGTGGTGCCCACTTAATTTGGAGTGAGGAGAAATACTCGCCCATGACATTAGCTGGTGGTCGTGCCAAAATTACAAATTCACAGAAGCTAGAATTCATGAGCCATTGATTCTGTTCCAAATGCTCTGTGAGCTTGATTTGTAAACAGAAGATCCTGGGTTTGAACCCTGGTGGTGAGTGCGCACTACCGATGAGTCTCATACTAAGATGGAACAAATATCCAGTACTCCCTGGTTTTCACCAGTTCTCTAATTAATAATAATAATTTGCTTTATTCCAAAACAGTACTTGTGATACAGAATGGAATTCCCAGCTATTTTACTACATAGCTCTACATAGATTAAGGAAATCTCAGTTCATTATGACAATAACATATTGGTATGTCAGTAGCAAAGCCAAAAATTGAACAGAGTGTTTGAAGATGTTAGAAAAGCAGATGGTAGCATATTTACTGGCGTAAGCAGAAGAAAGAAACAAAGGAGCACATAACAGAGAAAAAAAAAGAAAGAGAAAAGGAAAAGAAAGAAAGAAAACGTACCTATAAATGATATGAGTTGAAAAGACGAGATCCAGTTGGTCTACTCACTACTTAATAAGTTATAGGTTTCACGCCTAATGCTTTCTTTATCGTAGAGAACACGAGCTAGGTAGGGTATGGATGAGTTTTTGTACTTACTATTGCGGGCATATAGTTTCCTACATAGGCTTCTGGTTTTGCCTGATGAGATACATGGGGAGAGTTGTGAATGTAGAGGGTGTTGTGAGTTAGATAAAATGGATTTTGCCCACTTTTCACATGAGTCCAGGTGCCTATCCACCAGAATATTAACAAGCTGGTTAAGTGGCGCATTGTTTACCCTCCTGACAACCTTTAACATCCTACGTAATAAGGTATAGTCTTTCTTCAGTAGCCCAGGAAAAACTAAGGGGGAACAATAGAGAATAATAGGCAGAGTGTGGGAGTTAACGAATTGTAGGAGTAAGGATTAGGTTGGGCTATTCCAGAATGTCTTAACTTCTTGATGTAGAAGGTAAGACGGAATGTTTTCTTAGAAATCATAAAGATATGAGACGACCAGGAAAGATCAGCAGATATAATGACGCCTAGGTATTTAATTTCTGACTTGGTTATTAATATCAGTCCGTGGTCGAACTTGCAACGTTAACAATGACTGATAAAGTGATATGGTTGTCAGTAAACTCTTGAAAATCCATACTTTTTACAAGTTACT